CCCCAAAACCCCAAAACCCCAAAACCCCATATGAATAATCTGCTAATGAGAGAGGATTATAATGAAATTAAATACATTAATTGATCATTATTGATTAATTGAAGATTGGCCCTAAATATCGACACTATACCTATTTTTCTTGGAATCTAAATAAATATACTCAAGACTCCAACCCTAACCTTTTAACTGATTCTCAAATTCACTGAAATCTATTTATTTATATTCTTACTCGGCCTCGTATATCTTTTGATATAAATTGTTAGTATTCGAGTCATTTTTATTGTAGCTCATGTCTTTATTGAGTTAGTTGTCCAATAGCCTAGCAAAGTAATAGGACTTTAAGATATCAATATTCTCTGCTTCCTTTTTCATATTTATATGAATTTTATAAGGTCTACCATTATTGAAAAACCCTTTAAAATTAGTTCTAAATCTAGAGTTTAATCCCTCAACATGGTAGATAAATTTTCTGTCTTTTTATTTCAATTAATTAACAAGATTCTATTGATAAAGTTTGTCTTTTTTATCTTCAAGAAGGGAGTAGACTGAGCTATGTCCGTACTTTATGAATTTACAGACTTTCATATTGAGTAAATTAGGAAGATAAAATACTTCAATGTGATTGATATGAGCAGCAGAACTGAACTTATAATTGTTCTAGAAATACTCATTGAAAAGTAAGTAAGCTCTTTGGTTATTGAGGTAAATTTCATCAATGACCTTAGCGGAAAAATAAGATGCAGCTATATTCATCCCTGTGAGAACAATGAATATTGGATAAAGCTAGGATACTTAAGTAATATCTATAACTTTAGAGATCCATAGTCCGAATGCACCTCCAACCAGTGTGGAAGCTGTTGCTTATGAGACACTCTTTCCTGAAATATCCCCGATATTATTATTTTTTGATAGTTACATATTTATGCTAGCTCTAGATGCTGAAGCCAGTAAAAAACAAATATTTTTGCCTACATTGGCTAAGGAAGCTAAAAGCAGGAAATGATGAGGAAAACTTAATGTCAAAATTTCAATGTACATTGCCACGTTCAAAGCAAAAATAGCCATGAATCTCCATTTCTTGATATCTTCGTCAAAATTTCTACCATATCTACTCGCAAATAATATTCCACCCAGTTAACCTAGGCCATCTTTAAGAACCCAGGTATAAGCTGCTGCAGCGACATTGGCTTACGTCATTGTGCTATAATGAAATTAAATAGAGAAGATATTGCTTACCTTCCAATAGCTACAAATAGACTCTAAGCTGAAAGGAATCCCATCGCTGTGTAAAGAAAAGCAGACATATTACTATAAATGGAAAACTTCAAGTATGCAGGGGCTACTGTATGTGGATAGCCGGCGGGAAGAAATGTCTCAAATAAGCCATTATGTATATTTCTGTGAAGCTAATCTACTTAATTCTGATTGCCACTTTGAAATGTATGAATCTCTCCAGTTGTTTAGTCCAGTTCTACAGACTTTGGCCCAATATCTTTGTCATTTTAATAGTTATAAATGATCAGATTCTGCTTATTGATATTCTTATTCTAACTTATACTATTAGTTTATTCTTCAGTATCATTACTTGAACCTTGATCTTACATTACATTCTAAGAAGTGAGATCTATATTCGAATCATCCTTCTTTGAGAATTTTCTTTGCTGATATCTTATTATTAACTGACTTCTTGAGTGATCTAACTGTTATTATAGCCTTGGATTAATTAAATGTGAATATCCGAATCTAGACTGTTACAGAATTTTGCTTTAGCTTGCTTATAACTAACTATAGAGGAGACCAGAGATCCTTGAAAGCTAATTTAAATGTCTAGGTACTATATTTTGCATTCTATGATTATTAAAATATTAATATAAACAAATATTTAAAACAAACATCTAGTTGCGGGGTTTTGGGGTTTTGGGGTTTTGGGG